CCCACTCTCCCCTTCTGAACACCTGGGTGTCCCCACTCTCCCCGTCCCAACGCCCACACCGTCCCCACTCTCCCCATCCCCACACCCACCCCGTCCCCCCTCTCCCCACAGACGGAGGGGGTGCGGGTGTCGGTGAACGTCCTCTCCGACCACAAGGACCTGCCCGTCCTCTTCGTGGTGAGGCAGAAGGAGGCGGTGGTCTCCTTCCAGGTGCCCCTCATCCTCCGGGGACTGTGAGTACCGGCGGGGTGGACTCTGCCCCCCACTGAGGCACCTTGAGGTGGGGGTCCCGGGGGGGGGTCAGGCTGGGGGCGGTGGGTGCAGCCTGGCTCTGCCCACCCCAGGTACCAGCGGAAATACGCGTACCAGGAGGTGAGCCGCACGCTCTGCCAGCCCCAGACCAAGGCGGAGGTGGAGACCCAGCACTTCTTCGTGGACGTCTCCACCTTGTCCCACAACACCTCCTACCAGCTGCGGGTCACCCGGGTGGAGAACTTCGTCCTACGGTGAGGGGAGCCCCCCCGGCCCCATCCCCGGCCACCCCCGCTGCCGGAGAGGGCTCCCCCCGCCAGCCCCTCACCTCTCCCCTGTGCTCTGCAGGACCAACGAAAGGTTCAGCTTCAACGCCACGGCCTCCCAGCCACAGGTGAGGGGGAGCTGGTGTGGCACGGGCCAGGGTCTGCGCCCAACCATGGCCACCGTGGAGGTGACGGGCCCTTTTTATCCCCCCTCCTCCCCCCAGTATTTCAAGTACGAGTTCCCCGAGGGAGTGGACTCGGTGATCGTGAAGGTGACCTCGGCCATGGCCTTCCCCTGCTCTGTCATCTCCATCCAGGACATCCTGGTAGGTTTGGGCGGCCGGGACCCCCCCATCTGGGCCACCCGTGGTGCCCGGTGGGGCTGAGGGCCCCCTCTGTCCCCCCCAGTGCCCCGTCTACGACTTGGACAACAACGTGGCCTTCATCGGGATGTACCAGACCATGACGAAGAAGGCGGCCATCACGGTGCAGGTGGGCGCGGGGCCATGCCGTGGGGCTATGCCGTGGGGCTGAGCCCCCCGAGGGAGCGTGGGAGACCCCCAGCTGGGCTCTGCTGACCCCCTGTTTCTCCCCCCCTCCCCGGGACGGCTGTTGCAGAAGAAGGATTTCCCCAGCAACAGCTTCTACGTGGTGGTGGTGGTGAAGACGGAGGATGAGGCGTGCGGGGGGGCCCTCCCCTACTACCCCCTCTCCAAAGGTGCCTCCCCAGGTGTGCCCGGGGGGTGACGCTGAGGATGGGGAGGAGACGCTGAGCCCCCCACCCCTCAGAGGAGGGGGAGGGACTCGTGGGTGCCCTCTGAGGGGCTGATGGCCCCCCTCTCCCCGTGCCTTCTTCCAGACGAACCTGTGGATCAGCACAACCGGCAGAAGAAGCTGGAGGTGATGGTGTCACCTGCCATAACCTGTAAGCCTGGGAGGGGCTTGGGGGGGGACCAGGGGGGGTGCTGGGCTCCACAGGGGACCCCCAGGGCTGCTGCTCGCCCTGAGGGCTTGTCCCGGCTCCGCGCAGCGGAGGCCTATGTGAGCAGTGTCCTCTTCTGCCTGGGCATCTTCCTCTCCTTCTACGTCCTCACGGTGGTCATCGCCTGCTGGGAGAGCTGCCGGTGAGTCCCCGGCCACCCCGTCCCCCCGGGGCGCTGCACCCTGGGGTGCCACCCCGTCCCTCACGGTGCCCCCTTGCCCCTGGTGCCCCCTGGTTGCCCACCCGGCCCCGCTGACAGCCCCTTCCCTCGGCAGGCAGCACAAGAGGAAGGGGCTCCTGGCAGCCATGGACTCCCCCAGCCTGGACACGGGTGAGGGGCTGCGGTAGCAGCACTTTTTTTTGGGGTGGGGGGGTGTCTGCCCTGGGGGATTCCCGATTATTTTGCCCTGTCGAGCCCATGGTGAAGCCCTCAGTTCTGCAGGAGCTCCCCACCGTCCCCCTGAGCCCCCCGTGTCCCCCAGCTCCCTGGGGACAGGAGGAGGACAGGGCCACCCCGGGGGTCGTGCTGGGCCGCCGTGGGGCTGGCAGGGCTGCGCTGGGGCTTGGGCATCTCACCAACCCTGTCTCTTCCTTTCCACGGCTCCCCGGGGACTCCCAGCATCTCTCCTGGGTAGGTGCCAGCCTCTGCCCTCTCCTTGGCTGCCAGCGAGCTCCCGTGCCAGGGCAGGGCCGCGGGGTGCCCAAGGGTGCCCTGCGTGCCACGGGGGGCTGCCGGCAGCCCACGGGGGACCCCTCCTTGTCTCCGCAGGGCATGCTCGCAGCATCCCCGACTCCTTCCTGGGCCGCCCTCCCTACGACAGCTACGGTTACGGCTCCTTCGGTGAGTGCTGCCTGCCTGCCCTCCCCCCCCATGCCCGCGGGCAGGCGGCCGTGCCCACCCCCCTCTGCCCCTCCTCGCAGGGAACGGTTCCTCCAGCAGCGCCGAGGGCGTCACCGACAGCATGGGCTCGGTGGAAGTCACCTACGGCTACATGGGTGAGTCCTGGGGGGGCTGGCACGGCCGCAGCCCCCCCTGAAGCTGGGGTGCCAGGGCAGTGCTGGGCTGTCCTGATGATGCTGTGCCACCAGGAGCATCCCTGGCTCTGCCCCTTGCCATCTCCTGGGACCCCGGGTTGCCATCCCCTGGGACCCCAGGTTGCCATCCCCTCCGTGCCACCCCGCAGCGGGGTCTCCGTGGGCGCCGGCGGGACGGACGCGTGCCGTGGTGGGGGGGCTCGACCCCCGCTCCTGCTCCTGTAACTTCTCTCTTTCCATTGAAGGGCAGGAGCAGTTCAAGCGGCGCACGCTCTCCGCCCCGATGAGGCCGCTCAGCATTGCCATGGGTAGATGCTGGTACCGGGCAGGGACGGGCCAATCAACCCAAAAATCTGTGCCCTGGGGTGCTCAGCACCTCTGCTCCCCCCCTCAGAGCTGAGGCAGCACTTGGGGGGCTGCAGGAAGGGGGATGACATCTCCCTCCTGCCCCCCCCTCGCTGTCCCCAGCCCGACAGGACCCTGGGGGACGGGGTGATGCCCACCCCTGTGTGTCCCCGGGGCAGGGCCCGCACGGAGCTGGAGCCCGTCCCTGGTGCCAGCTGGCAGGGAGGCAGCTGAGCGGTTAATTGGGGGTGATTGGGGTGCTGGTTGTGGGGGGGCTCGGCTGGGGGGGCTCGGCTGACGGCCCTGGCTCACCCGCAGGGGAGCGGTCGCTGGAGAACGTGGCCGGGCGCCCGCGCCTGGACTCGCTCAGCTCCATCGAGGAGGATGACTACGACACGCTGGCCGACATCGACTACGACAAGAACGTCATCCGCACCAAGGTGGGTGCTGCCCTCCCCCCCCTC